AGGCAGGTGGATCTCTGTGAGCTGAAGCCCAGCCTGGTCTACACAGTGAGTTCCAAGTTAGCCAGGCTACACAGTAAAACCCCATATTTGCCTTTCTTGAAGCCGTGCTAAGAGTAGAAGAAACTCCCCAGGTAGAAATGGGTCTGTTCAGTCACTGGCTAAAGGAAAGACAGCCCCACTCACTTAAAGTTGTGCTAAAGAGACAGAAGGAGCTAGGTCTTCAGCTTCTGGATTGTTCTTCGCCAGAGCCCCCGCCCTAATTTATGGGTATAGGTATGTAGTAGGGTCCTTACATCTGCCACTTTTTCTGAAGTATTCAGTTTTCTGAACTCTCCAGAGAAGCAGAACCTTTCTTCTTTCTACGTTTCCGAAACATGCTTCCCTTAAATTTGGGTTCTTGCCTCAACATTTTGGGGTTCCTGACCCTTAGTGTCATGTTGTCTGCCCTCCATTTGCTCCTCCAGTCAACTGTTGAGGTTTACAGCTTGCCTGCCCTGTAATTTCTCTTTGAAACATAATAAATTTTGTCATGAATTTACTTGAATTCTTGAATTCTTCTATTAAGGAAACTAAGAACCCCAGCTGGGCAATGGTGGCACACTCCTTTAACCCCAGCCCTTGGGAGGCAGAGGCAGGCGGATCTCTGTGAATTCGAGGCCAGCCTGGTCTACAGAGTGAGTTCCAAGTCAGGCTCCAAATCTACACAAAGAAACCCTGTCTTGAAAAACCAAAAAAGAAAAGTCAGGACAGTAAGCCATGGGAACAGCTAAATTCACTGAACAAGGTGTAGAGTACTGGAGATTGTGAAGCAGACACTTAACAATCCTGATTTTGGCTTTAATCCTTAGTTTTGGATTCAATCTAGCCACCTGGGGGATGGCAAAGAATGATGTAAAGGGAAGAGATGGGAGGCTCCTGACATCTTTATCTCCGCACCAATGAGGTAGACGCAGGTGGATCTCTTGAGAAACTGAGGCCAGCCTAGTCTATACAGACTTGCAGGCTAGCCAGAGCTACATAGTGAGAGCCTGTCTTTAAAAAACATTGAGCATGTGTACATGATATTAAATATGATCATTGTCTTGGGTAGGGTTACTATTGCTATGGTAAAACACCATGACCAAAAGCAACTAGGGGAGGAAAGGGTTTATTTGACTTACACTTTCACATCATAGTCCATCACTGAAGGGAGTCAGGACAGGAACCCAAACAGGGTAGAAGCCTGGATACATGAGCTGACACAGGTCACGGAGGGGTGCTGCCTACTGGCTTGCTCTACACACAGCTTGCTCAACCTGCTTTATTAAAGAACCCAGTACCACCAGCACAGGGATGGTACCACCCATAATGAGCTGAGCTGTCCCCCAGCCATCACTAAGAAAACCCTGGTTGGACAGTGGTAGTGCACAGATTTAATCTCAGCACTTTCAAGGCAGAAGCAGGAAGATCTCTGTGAGTTTGAGGTCAACCTGGTCTATAACGTGAGTTCCAGATCAGCCAGGAGTATTATGCAGAGAAACCCTGTCTCAAAAAACCAAATTGAAAAGAAAACTCTCTACAGTCTTGCATAGTATGATCTCATAGAGGCTCTCAACTGAGGCTCCCTCTTCTCAGATGACTTTAGCTTGTGTCAAACTGATATAAAACCACCCAGCACAATAATAACAAGGATTTTTAGGTACTTACAGGAAATATATCAGTCATCTTTTGAAAGAACAAAATACATGTTCTTTATGTATATACATTTGGGACGCAAAACCTACAATCCTAGCACTTAGGAGGAAGCAAGAGGGCTACAGTGCATTTGAGGCCTCCTGGACTACAAGGTCAGGCCTTTGTATCAAATGAATCAATAGAAACCTATCCTGGAATAGAGGCTCTCACTGCAGTGTTTCAGATAAGTGCTCATCTGCTCAGAAGTGCGTGCTCCATTTCCAGAACACCCGTGTCTGCAGGAATAGGAGGTGTTGACTATCTCCAGGCTGCACGTGATGATGATGGGAGGGCTCCTTCTCTTAGACAGCACATATAATCCCGACACTACCAGCAGCTTAGCATCAAAACCGGCACACTTGCAATATCTTTAAAAAAAAAAAAAAAAAAAACTAGCTAAGAAAAAAAAAACATGAAAAGTGTTCCACACGGAAGGCAGGCTCTGGGTTTGAACAACAAATTGTGTTGTCTAAATTAGTTTCCTCAAACAAAGTGTGGGGAAAGAAAAAGAAAAAAAGGAGAACAAAGGGGAATTCCGGTCTAAAACTAAAACTCAGTATTATCCCCGTCTTCTCCACATATCACTCTGAAAGCCAGGCGCTTGCATGATCACTGCAGTCAACTGTGCTCTAAGTAATGTCCTTCCACAGGGCCCAGTCTCACTTCATCTGCAGACACACCTATGTTTGGAGAGGCAGCAAGAAAGGAGAGGAAAGGAAGTGCTCCCTCTAGTCGGCAGACATGGGTCAAGGGGCTTACGGTCGAGCTGAACTACCCACAACCCACAGGGTAGAGACTGAGAACCTGCTCCTAAAAGTCAGATTACAAACAGACAAAACAGACAGACAGACAGACAGACACACAATTTAAAAATAAAGGGATGACAAAAAAAAAAACTACTGGACTTTTTGTTTCACTGTGGGTATTTTTCAAGTTAAGCTGTGCAATCTGAACCTGACTGGCATTTTTAGTGCTCCTTCAGCAAGTTTAGCTCATGCCAGTGCTGGGTGGTAGTGGTGGTGGCTGTAGTACATGCCTTTGATCCAAGCAGAGGCAGACCAATCTCTAGTTCAGGCCTACAGAGCAAGTTCTAGGACAACAAGGACTTCACAGAGGCGCTGAGACAAAATTCCAGCCGCCACCAATTCGCCCATCTACCTCACCCCACCCCCATCTCAAAAAACAAAAGAAACATTTAAATTTAGTCAATTTTAATTAACTCAACAATTTTAGCAAACATTTTGGTATTATAAAAGATGAATCAAAATCATTACATTCAACAAATTTACTATTTGGAAAGGCATGCCATAATTTATTCTGAGCACAGCTACGGAGATAACTAAAAAATGAGACTCAGCATGTAGGCAACTGACCCGCAGGCCTGATGACCTGAGATCAATCTCAGGAACCTGCGCAAAGGTGGAAGAAAACTGACCCCACAAACTTGGCTTCTGACCTCCACAAATGAGCCTTAGCCTATGTGCACCCTTGTACGTCACATAAAAAATAAATTGTTTTTGTTGTTTCGAGACAGGATCTCTCTACATAGCTCTCTCTGTCTGTCCTGGAACTCACTATGTACATCAGGCTGGCCTCGATCTCACCAAGACATGTCTGTGTGTGTCACCTTAGTGCTGAGGTTGAAGTCCCAGCTGTTTTATTCTAAGTCAGGGCTTCACTATGTAGCTCAGCAGCGCACACTCTTTCCTCTAAATCAATGTTCTCAGGTGCAGTCATTTTCTTAAGGATGTTGCCACTTAAAAACCCAGTGGTGGTAGAGCACTCCTTCGGCTGGATTTCTGTGAGTTAGAGGGCAGCCTGTCTACAGAGTGAGTTCCAGGACAGCCAGGGTGGTTACACAGAGAAACCCTGTCTCAAAAAAACCAAACATAAATGTCTTTCTATGGACAGAAGCCTAGCTTTTCTTTTTTCCCTTAAGATTTGCTTATTTATTATGTAAACAGTGTTCTGACTCCATGTATGCCTGCAATGCAGGCCAGGAGGAGGCACCAGAATGCAGTATAGACGGTTAGGAGCCACCAAGTGGTTGCTGGGAATTGAACTCATGGCTTGTGTAAGAGCAGCCAGAGCTGTTAACCTCGGAGCCATCTCTCCAGCCCCGAGAACTTGAGCTTTAAACAAGTACTTGGTTCAGATCTAAGCAAATCCAGAGCCACAACTGAGGTCTACAGTCTGCCATCTTTTTTCATTCTTATATTTACCCCATATGCTTCCCCCAAGGAATGGCTGTCTTGTAGATAACTGGGCAGTCAGAAAATTAAAACCACATCATTTTGGGGAAACCAAGGGACTGCTTTGTCTTGGATTTTCATTTAATAAAACTGGTATGAGAAAAGCACAGAAAAGGGCCAGTCAGTATAAAACATATATATTCAACTATTCAGTATCACAAACAGTAATAGCCTCCGGTGTTTGGACGACAAAGAATTTTGCTCCACATTAAAGGCAATCTATCTGAACCAAGAGGTTAAGTCCTTTTAGTAAAATGTGATGTTATTCCTTTATTCCAGGAAATCAGGTAAGAACTACGTGGTAAAAATTAAAAAGGGAAACCAGCAAAAGTAAAAATAAAGCAAAGCCCCAAAATTAAAGGTATAAAAAATACAAACCATCAAAATAAACAGCCAAGAAAAGCTAACCGTACTATGCACCTCTCGTTCAATTCTTTGTGCCTCAAAACAACATCTTGTATAAATTCAGCACTGACATTCGAAATGATCTTTAAAAAGGGTCAAATACTGCTCAAAGGAGCGGACGGCAGTCCCTGTCCCCGGGCTGAGCCCTCACTGCAGACCTTGCAGACACACCTCCCTCGCCAGGCCAGAGGCCGCGCTTCTTCTCGCGCAGTCAGGAGATAAACAATCTGGGAGAAACAAGATTTCTTTGTTGTTTGTTGTTTTTAAGGCCAAACTGACTTCACAAGCCATTTATGAAGGGCGATTTTCTCCAGTTCCAAAGGAAAGGCCTTTGTGACCATTCCGTCACAGAAGGGTGGAAGCCCGAAGGCGACCTCAGCCACCCGGAAGCACCGGACGTGGGCGGCACGCAGGCCCGAACTCGGGACCCCAAGAGCAGCGAGCTGTGGGCCGGAACCCTCGGCCAGGGAGCCCACCGGCGGGGCAGCGCGGGCCGGAACCCTCGGCCAGGAGTCCACCCGCGGAGCAGCGCGGGCCGGAACCACGTCCAGCCCGTGGGCTAACAACCAGCGCCGCAGCCCCGGCCTGCCCACCGCGGCACGGCCCGTCGCCCGCGCCTCCCGTACTCACACACGCACAGCTCCACCACGTACGCGTAGTAGGACCAGACGACCACGAAGGTGATGAAGAGCACCGGAACCCAGCCCACCACGCGTTGGCAGCAGCGCCAGAGTGTCCAGGGCGCCATGTTCCTCCGGTGACCCCCTGCGCCCGATTCCCACGATTCTGCAGGGCTACAAGACCCCGGTCGTTCTTCCGCCAGCTCCACCTCCCCCGAGGTACGGCGGCCCCAAGCAAAGGCGTAGGGCGACGCCGCAACTCCGCCCCTCGGGGCCGCCCGGCTGGGCCCGCCCCCGCCCCGCATCCCGCCGCTCCGCCCCTAGCCCGGGCGCCGGGCGCTCCCCGTAGGGGGTGGGGCTTCCCGGCCGAAGGAGGCGGGGCCTGAGGTTGGGCGGGGCTCTTCTCAGGCCCGCCCACGGGATTTGGGGAGGGGTCTGGGTGGAAAAGAGGGGAGAGTGCCAAGGGTGTAGGAGACCACCCAGGACCGGGTGATGAGAGCGATGGGGATGCACCTGGGGAGAAGAATGAATCCTTAGCCACCGTGGGGGGACTTCAGTGCTCATCCAAGTTGGGGTCCTTTTTTATATAAGACCATGCTCACTCCAGTGTGCAAGCGAAAGGGTATTATATACATTAAAACAAAAGACTTCATGATTCTGATGTGTCTTCAGCAAAGAATCCCTGAGATAATTTGGTCCTCATCCCATCCTTCACCCCCATGATTTTTTGAACTGGTAGGTGCCTGTGATTTAAGGTGAAAGCCATATACAGCAGGTTATTTTGATTTGGGTTACGTCGTGAAAGCAGAATATATAAACATTCCTTTCCCAGCACTGAATTTTCAAAAGTTTATTTACTGCTAGAGATCGCTAGGCAATGACTGTAATCCTAGTAGACTCTAGAAGCCATGCTGTGAAGCATCATAATGCACCATCATTAGAAATAATTCTAGAAAAAAAAAGTAGTAATTCATTTCTTTGCTTTGAATGTGGATGCTCACAGTGTGTGTGTGGAGGGGGTCTGAGGACGAAATGTGAGTCACTGGAGTGAGTTTCTCCTCGTGGGTACTGGAACCACACTCAAGTCACGTTTTCCACCCTGCATCTCACTGACCCCAGACTGCATGCTTTGTTTTATTTATTTATTTATTTATTTATTTGGTTTTTCGAGACAGGGTTTCTCAGTAGCTTTGGTGCCTGTCCTGGAACTAGCTCTTGTAGACCAGGCTGGTCTCGAACTCCCAGAGATCCGCCTGCCTCTGCCTCCTGAGTGCTGGGATTAAAGGCGTGCGCCCGACTATTTATTTATTTTTTTAGGTTTATTTGTTTATTTGGCAGTGGGGCATGAAGACACACGCCTTTAATCCCAGTGCACTCAGGAGGAAGAGGCAGGTGGATCTCTGTGAATTTGAGGCCAGCCAGAACTACATAGAGTGTGACCCTGTCTCAATAAATACATTGTTTTTCTTTTAGTGTATGAGTATTTTACCTGCAGGTTTGTCTGTGCACCATTTGGGTGCTTGGTACTGAGGAGACCAGAATAGGGCCTCAGAATCCTAGAACTGGAGTTACAGATGATTAAGAACCACTAAGTGGGTGCTGGGAACTGAACCCTGGTCCTCTGCAAGAGCAGGAAGAACTTCTCGCCAGCCTCAGACAGCATTCTTAATGCCAGTTCCTGCCACTGCCATGGCAATTTGGGTTTTAGATAAAGTGAGATTTTAGTTAGCTACTCTTCTCTAAAGTCTCCAGGGAGAAGGCAGCTGCTTTTACAGTATGACAAAGATTTAGTAAAACAAGCACTAATATTTAACCACCACACGGCACTGTTTAAAGTGAGACAATGTGTGACGTGGCCGGGCCTCAATTTTCAGACTATATATTAGTGACAAGGTCGACACAAGGTCAGCTAAGGGCGCTGAGGTGGATAAGATTCAGCCAGTTTTCCAGAAAGGTGCTTCTACGTCTTGCTTATAGGAGGAAACATGGGATCTGGAGGCTAGGGGTATAGCCCAGTGGGAGACCACCTCAAATATGGGTGTAGCAATAGGTTCAGCCAAAAGTGAGGTGTGTGTGGGGTGGCTATGATGGAATTAGGATTGACAGGAAAATCAATATTAAAACTGCTGTCTCGTGATCCTGGTGTGGTGGTGTCCCCTTTAATCCCAACACTGGGGAGGCAAAGGCAGGCCTATCTCTGTGAGTTCAAGGCCAGCCTGGTCTACCGAGTGAGACCATGACAGCCAAGGCTACACAGAGAAACCCTGTGTCAAAAAACAAAAATGCTGTCTGGGGCTAGTATTGGCATGTAGTAAATGAAGCCCCTTTTTCTCCCGCCATCTCTCTATATAAAACTGTGCTAAAAAGGTTACGCCCTTTACAACTTCTCTGTAAAACAAAAAAATTATTTGTTGTATCATTCACTGAGCCTTGCACAGCTCTAGAAACTGGCCAAATTGGGGTGTCTCAGTCAGGGTTTCTATTGCTATGAGAGACACCATAACCACAGCAACTCTTATAATGGAAAACATTTAATTGAGGTGGCTGGCTTACAGTTCAGAGGTTCAGTCTGTTGTCATCATGGTGGGAAACAAGGCAGCATGTCAGCAGACGTGGTGCTGGAGAAGGAGCTGAGAGTTCTTACATCCTGACCCATAGGCAGCACTGGGTGTGTCTTGAGCAGATATGAAACCTCAAAGCCCACCTCCACACTTCTTCCAACAAGACCACACCTGCTCCAACAAAGCCACATCTGTTAGTACCTCTCCCTAAGAGCTTATGAAAGTCACCACCTCATGGGGCATTAGGGGAATAAAGGACCGCTTTACAGAAGAGAGATTGGGTGGTGTTGGCTCTCTGATAGCGAAGACTCAGCACGCTAGGTCTTAGTCAATGCTCTGTTGGTGTAGAGATGCTATGACCACAACAAATCTTATAAAAGGAAGCGTTTAATTGGGGCTTGCTCACAGTTTCAGAGGTCTAGTCCAGTGTCATCATGATGAGGAATATAGAAGCACAAAGGCAGTCATGGTACTGGAGAATATATATATACATATATATATATACATATATATATATATGTATATATATATGTATATATATATTCTCAAGTATATAGTTCAGGCTATGCTCAAACTGACAATCCTCCTACCTCAGCATCCCGGAGCTTGAATTGAAGATGTCCTCCACCACACCTAACCTAATGTAGGAAGAATTCTTCTTTGCTCCTTTCATCTTGTGGCTATGGCCTGAATCCTTGGCATTTCTTGATTACTGTGTCCTCCAAGATCCACCTCCCTTGTCACCTGGTGTTTTGCTTTCCCGCCATTCTCTCAGCGTCTCAGATTGGATTAAGGCTGACCCCTGCTCCAGGAACCTTGTCCTAACCAGTACACGAATGATGACTTCCAAGAAGGGCCACATTCCCACTTCCCGTAAGGTGAGCACCTCAGCTTACCTTTGGGGAGGCACAACTCAATAGAGAACATAATTTTGAATCTAACTGAAATGAATCATCTTGCCTATTACTTTGGAAGGTTCTTAAAGCGAGAAAGTATTTATTGTGAATCAGTGCCATATGGGTAAGAAATATTTGGCAACTGTAAAATGAATGTTTGAAGGTTTCTGTCTAATGTTTCAGTCAATCAGATAGTCCCTGATTTCTAAGTGAGTGCCACATGTATGTGTCCCTAAAGATAGTAGTAACTTTTACAAGGGTTAAGGAGATATTTCAGAGCCGGGCAGTGGTGGCACATGCCTTTAATCCCAGTACTTGGGAGACAGAGTAAGGCAGATCTCTGTGAGTTCGAGGCCAGCCTGGTCTACAAGAGTGAGTTCCAGGACAGCTGGTGCTATTACACAGAGAAACCCTGTCTCCAAAAAAAATAAATAAATAAATAAAAAAATAAAAGGAAATATTTGAGAACTACGTTCTATGCTTTTGTCTTAAAGTCACCTTTGGGGCAGGTTGTGAGCGGGGAAACTGCATTTGATGACAATCCTCAGACTATGGGTTTGAAAGAATAATGAGGACAGAAAAAAGTCTTCAGACTAGAGGAGCAGCGGGGAGACTGAAGCAGTTTCCCAGGCATGCGGAGGGCAGCCTGAAGTGGGGCTGGTTGCAGAGAGAAGCCGTTCTGAACTTCAGATTACCTTTGATGTACTGCTCCAAAACACAGCAGTGAGAGAAGGAGATGGAAAGTGAAAATACCACATCCTCCATCCCCAACCTTGATTTTCCCCACATCTGACAAAAGAAATAGGAAAAAAAATGTCTCCAGTCTCTCAGACAGTGACCTCCTTCCTTCCCTCTTGTCCTCCACCTCCTTCCTTCTTTTTACCAGCTGCCAGTTTAGCCCTGACGATTGATTTCTGGGGTCGCCATTACAACCACCAGCAGTAACCAGTAACCTACGTATAGTTCAAGTTCTCTCTCCGGATTGAGGGAGAGGACTGACATAAAGCACGCGGGTGTGAGTGTGCAGAGTGCAGGTGAAACAGATGTGGTAGCACACCTGAGTTCCCAGCACTTAGAAGGCAGACGTGGACTGAGAGCTAGAAAGCTGGTTGGGTGTCCCAGACCCAAAAAGATGAATATGGGATGTACTCACTCATAATTGGTTTCTAGCCATAAATAAGGACCATGGAGTCTACAATAGGTGAACCTAAAGAAGCTAAGGAAGAAGGTGAACCCAAGGAAAAACATATAGTTGTCCCCTTGGCTAAGGGAAGTAGACCAAATTTCCGGGGAGAAAATGGGATCTTGGGGGTGGGGTGGGATGGGGGTAAGGGGAGATGGGGAGAGAAAAGGTAGAAGGGAAGGAGGGGGGACCTGGGAAACAGGAGAATTGGGATAAAGGAAAGGTGGATAGGGGAGCACGGAACCACAATTCTTAGTTAAGGGAGCCACTTTAGGGTGGGCAAGCGACTTGACCCTAGAGGGGCTCCCTAGTGCCCAAGATGAGGTTCCCAGTTAGTTCCTTGGGCAGCTGAGGATTGGGAACCTGAAATGACCCTATCCTAGAGCAATACTGACAAATATCTTGCATATCATCATAGAATCTTCATCTGGTGATGGATAGAGATAGAGACAGAGACCCACACAGGAGCACTGGACTGAGCTCCCAAGGTCCCAAGGAGGAGCAGAAGAAGGGAGAACATGAGCAAAGAATTCGGGACCACGAGGCGTGCATCCACCCACTGAGACAGTGGAGCTGATCTACGGGGAACTCACCAAGGC